CTGATAAATTCGTGCTCAAATATAGCACTGTCAATGGACTGTTAAAAGGGGGATTGTGAAGGGAGCTATGCTTTGAAGGCAACAGCTTGGATGCATGAGCGTGATTGAGGGCGCGATTGGGCCACGTCTGACAGTGTCTCTAACCATTGATATGGCCCGTCTCGGGGTCCCATCCAGGAAGACGGCAAGACCAGCGCAGCTGAGTTTGCTGGTAGTGGCTTTTATACTTCACTGCCAAGTCATTGTTTGACCGCCTCTGGCTCTCGTCCACTCTTCACGTGGTTGTGCGGAAAGAACCCTCCGAAGGTTCACCCTTCTTCCAATCGGGTGACATGTCTTTGCCCATCTTGTCATCCATTTCAAGTTACTATCCTACGTTTTTGTCTTCTTTTTTCCAAGAACCGTTTTCTTTAAATCTTTGGAACTCTATCTTTTCTAACCTTTATGACCTCGAAATGACCTGAGGCCAGGCTAAAATCCATTTCAATCCACCAAAGGCTTCACGCTTCTTCACGTACAGTTTGTGTTGCCGTAGCGATTTTTTCAGACACGAAAAACCAACGTCGTGATCGCCCAAATATCTGCGTTACTTTCCACATCATCCTTTTTCTATGTGAACCATGCTACTCTCACTTTCTCTTCATCATATCTGCTCTTCATTCGGTCTGTGTAACGCCCGGGCGAAAGGCACTAATGTCACAGATAACAATCTTGTCAAAATCATCGACTGGGGCTCGTTGAACTCAGCAACACTCAACCTTACTAGGTCTCTCATAATCATTGTCAGCTGTAATCACCGCGTACTTGTCGTACAGTGGTTGTAGCTGCCACAGTTTCGTTCACCGATGATTCGGGGAGGCGGGGTAGGTAGCTGCACACTGGAGGCGGGAGCTGATAAATTCGTGCTCAAATATAGCACTGTCAATGGACTGTTAAAAGGGGGATTGTGAAGGGAGCTATGCTTTGAAGGCAACAGCTTGGATGCACGAGCGTGATTGAGGGCACGATTGGGCCACGTCTGACAGTGTCTCTAACCATTGATATGGCCCGTCTCGGGGTCCCATCCAGGAAGACGGCAAGACCAGCGCAGCTGAGTTTGCTGGTAGTGGCTTTTATACTTCACTGCCAAGTCATTGTTTGACCGCCTCTGGCTCTCGTCCACTCTTCACGTGGTTGTGCGGAAAGAACCCTCCGAAGGTTCACCCTTCTTCCAATCGGGTGACATGTCTTTGCCCATCTTGTCATCCATTTCAAGTTACTATCCTACGTTTTTGTCTTCTTTTTTCCAAGAACCGTTTTCTTTAAATCTTTGGAACTCTATCTTTTCTAACCTATATGACCTCGAAATGGCCTGAGGCCAGGCTAAAATCCATTTCAATCCACCAAAGGCTTCACGCTTCTTCACGTACAGTTTTGTGTTGCCGTCTGTCGCTGCTTACAAGTTGTCTGCGATTTTTTCTTCCCCTGGAGCCCACATTTGCGTGTTAAAAATAAAAGATGGAATTCCGTAAATCCTCCTACTTCATACAAATGGGATGAGGACAATTCCAGCCTTAGCAAAGATTACAACAATGTTGTGGAATGTAGGAAGCTCGGGTGCGTTGCTTGGTTGGTGGTCTGTTCACCAAGCTTGGAAGTTGGATTCCAAACGTTCCATCACCAATCGCGGTGACATCGTCAGTGTAGGGTTGAGTGGGTCCCACCTCAACCCTTCACTGACGATGTCAACTCGATTGATGGTGAAACGTTTGTAATCCAACTGCCAAGCTCGGCAAACAGACCAACAAACAAAGATTACAACGGGGATAAGTGGTCACCACGAAAGAGAAGACCAGATGGAGAGCCTCAGTCAAGACACCAATGGAAGCAATTCTAGGGTAGGATACCAGTGATGCACTGCCGTACAGCCATGCCAACCAACCAGAAGCTCTATGGAATAATGAGATGAATATGGAAGGGGGAAGCAACACATAGGAACGAGCTACAACTATACAACCCGATCAGGCATGCCGGATAAACAGTGAGAGAAACAAAACCACTAATGTCACCAACATCCCACAAAGAGCAGATGGTGAGAGGCCTCCAGATCAATATTTCTCAGCTCTAGATATCCCAGGCTACAAAGGTCGACTTCAGATTACTACAATCAGTAGGGACAATAATTCTATTGGAAAAGATAACATCTGTCGTCTAAGCACTCCACTGATCTCATCATAACTTATTCTGTATGTACTTTGAACTGGCGAGATGGCTCCTAAGGCCCAGGTACAACCATAAGGTTCGTTTATATACATCAATCGTTTAGCTGTAGCACCCTTTTGGTGCCTAAATGCCATGAAAAAGGGTGGGTGAGGGGGGGGGAACGTCAAGCATTCTGAGGTGCCTGCACCGCTGAATCAAACAACCTGGAAAAAACTGACGGGACGAACGTCACTGACATCGATTAGCCGCTTTTTCATGCAACGTCTCCAGCCAAGCACAGACGGGGTCGCGGGGACCCATCCTGGAAGGCGTACAGCACCAACAACACCCAAACTCTTCGTGATCTCTTTCACGCCTTTCTGCCAAGTCATGTGCTATCCACCTCGCTGTTTGCCGCATCCTGAAGGAGGCACGGAGAACAACGCTCGTCTCGGTAGACGGCGTTTCGGTATGCGTAGCACATGACCAAACCATCGTAGTCGATGATGCTGGATGTTTTCCCGGATTGAGGTGCCGCAGAACAACCAAATACCCGTTTTCTAATCGCGTCCTTATTGACGCGCTGACACCATCCAAAACCAGCCACGCTTCTGAGACATCGGTGGTCGAAAACCTGTAGACGCCTCACATCATCTGTCCGCAGAGGCCATGTCTCGCACCCATACAATAACACAGCCCTTACTGTAGCCTGGTAAACACGACCCTTAAGGTCTCGTGAGATGCCTTTTTGACGCCACAGGTGACGCAGATTACCATATGTGATTCGAGCCTTTGAGAGTCCTGCACTGACTTCATCAGACACATTTCCGTCAGAGCTAATACAACTACCGAGGCATGTAAAGTTTTCCACAATCTCCAGTGATTCTCCTTGAATTGTAAGAGATATGTTCGCAGGTGGCACGTTCCGAAGCATGACTTCGCGGTCAATGTCATCTACGTACTCCAGATGGACAAGGCTCTTACCAGCAACAAATTGAATATCGGGGTTTTGAAGACCGTCCGCTATTACCCTCATTATTTCATCAATGACGAAGTTAAACAAAAATGGAGAGAGTGGACATCCTTGTCTGATACCAATTTTTGAGGGGAAGCTTTTGGAGAGCTCACTGCTTCACTGCCGTGCATCGGCGGAAAGAGAAAGCTTTAGGAAACAGTGAGGAGAAAATGAAAGGGATAGGAAATATACAAATAAGCGGTACTAGAGAAACGTTAGTATACATGGACAATACGGACACATTCGTGCAGATTGCATGTGACACACTGAAGATGGGGCTTACACAACTTTGAAGTTATAAAACCTCAACACGGTCCTCAATCTCGAGTGCCTCTCCTCAGATTGTGAATGGCGTGCCCAAAGACCGTATATCCAGGAGTAGGACCTTAGATATTTCATGGTAAAGGACGGGAGGATTTGACAGCGTTTGTTGCGGACCTTTTTGAAGACAGGAGCTATTAGTTACATAGGAAGATCATCTGCTTCAAGACGCAGGCGAAGTAGTTATGCAAGCCCTGAATGAGTGGTGAAATTCCATCTTTATATAGCGCCAGCGGTAGGTTGGCCCAACCAGGAGCTCGGCGTGGCTTCATGTATACAGTCATAAACTTCCGAGACAGAAGTAGGTTCGAAATGCATCGTCCAAAACCCCACGCAAAAGCAGCATGTGACCAGAAGGGTCATTGTTCGAAGTGCTCGGTTCACAGATCGAGGTCCCTTCCTACAGTGGAGAGTATCAAGCCAGTCTCCACTCCAAATGGTTTTCCGGAACTCCCTACACCAATTCACTCCCATCAATACTCGACTGTCATATTCACTTAAACCTGTAAGCCGACGGTCTCCGCGAACACTGCTTATTCAGTCAAGGGGAGACAACCTCACCGCGGAGTGCACCTATGCAGCCCGTGAGGCAACACTGGGAGGTGCACACTAGACGCCACACACACTAGGTCGGTCATTAAGTAGTGATCTGAATAATATTCTCCTGGTCCTCAAGGTTTGGGGTTAGAACAATCGCGGCAACTCGCTTGTTGAAATACAGAATACACTGGCGGCCTGACGCCAAATATCGCTGTCTTGCGGTTAGGCTTGTGATCCAAAGGGCTTGGTAGGGAACCAAATCGCTTTCCTGTTTGAGGTTGGCTACCTTGACAATATCCCAACTCACGTGTAACCAGAAAGAAGATGATCACAAATTGTCGCATGCCGTCGATTGGTGTCATCAACCAGATCGCCTTACCTAGTGCAAACAGCAGAGCATGCAAGCGAAAACAGGCTACAGCTGATGTCATACATTTTCAATTTTCCTCCCCTCCCTCCTTCTCCCTCTCTCTCCTCCTCCCCC